CCCTAATCATCATCAGAATCAGAATCATATTTTTTTCCTCGAACAGTTTTCTTTTCCAGCTTTGTGAAGTTTGTTCCAAATTTATTTTGGTTCTGAAATGGTGGCTCCATTAAATTTCCACTAAAAATAAAAACAAATTTGAAAAGCATTTTATTCTTCATGATTTAACACATATATTTTAGCTGATAAATGAAACCATATAAAAACCTACCTTTTCTTTCTGCTCTTAACAAAAATTTCTTTAAAATGTTGACATTGGGAAGTATAATATTCATATTTGTGGTTAGTTATTACAACCTGTTTTACACAAAATGTTCTAAAACTTTTTAAACTTTCCTTTTTATTATTAATAACTGATAAAAATATTTCATAGGATGTACCAAAAAAATTTGACCAAAAAACACAGAAATGTAAAAAAAACCTTCATTTCATTTGTTCTTGATATAATGACCTAGTATTAGATATTCTTTTTCCTATTGTAACACAAGGAAGGTAATGCTACACTATTTGAATAAAGTCTTCATTAATTCATCATTTACTTTGTCTGATAATTAGTTAAATTAGCATTCAAAATTATCACTATCAGACATAATACAATTTGATATCATTAGTTTTTTGTTATGGTATATTGAGAAGGCGACATAATATGTCTTTGAAAAATGCACAATCTTAAATAATCTTGAGGAAACATTTTTGTTGATATATACCATGGAACTGACCCATAGCTGACCTTCCAGAGGCTGTAAATAGAATAGGAAGAGATTGCTCATCATTCTCCCTCAGAGCAGCTAGTGGATTCGAACCATGTTCCTTTGATTTGGCAACTTCCTAGTACGAAGCCACCAGAGCTCCCTCAGGAGACATTAGGCACAGAAAAATTGAGGGTTTTTTAACAAAATACCTGTGCTGTTGTTTGCTTAAGTCACTTCTAAACTAGATTATATTTTTTTTTTCCCCTTTCACGTAAGATGGGTAGTGTGCCTATGTCGTAACAAGGTTTAAAGGATGGCACATACCATTCAGAAGTATGACGTCCCAATCATCATGCTTATGAACCAGAAAAGGATCGAAACTAGATTATATTCTTTAAAAAAATGTGAAAGTCTTGAAAAAGGTAAAGTGGTCAATGTTACAGGTTCATGGAAACGAAACACAATTAAATGCTATTTTTGGTGTGGAAGACATCATTGGGACAACTGGCAAAGTTTAAAGATCTGTAAATTATCTACTAATTAATTACAGGGGATTTCTGGTGGCCTTGTGGTAAGTAGTTGCATTGCAATCCCAAAGGCACAGGGTTTGAGGCCACCAGCTACCCTGTGGGAGAAGGATGGGCAATCTCCTTCTGTGTGATTAACTGCCTCTGAAAAGTGGCTGGAGAGTCAGCTATAGGTCAATTCCGAATCAAATGTAAGCAACAACAAATGACACTGTAAGAAAACATCTTTGTTCTTTGGACATGTATAAGAATTTAGAAGTAAAGAGATATTGTATAAATAATTTCCACTCATCTATTCCATTCTCATTGCTGCTGAGTTGGAACTGACTCAGAACTAACACTCAGTGGGTTTTCAGAGACTGTAAATTGCACAGAAGAAAACTCTCTTCTCTTTCTATGTGAAGCAGCTGGTGGATTCAAACCACCAGGTAAGTACCATCTTTAAGTTAGCAGTGCAACTCTTCACTCACTAGACCATCAAGGACCTCTAATTTTCACTCAAGTTAGTCTTTTTTATGCTAATACAAGGAAAATAAAATCCAAAATTTTCAATTTTTACAACACATGTGTTTTGGTGGCATAGTGGGTAGGACATAGTGGTACTGCCAATCTAAAGGCAGGCAGTTTGAATCCTCAGTAGAAGATAGACTCTGTCCTTCCATGTGATTCACAACCACTGAGATCTCACTGGAGGATCAGCTGAGTGGGTTCTGACTCCACAATAATGAACAAACAATAGAAGGAATGCAGAAAACAAGGTGTGGGTGAAGTATGGGGAAAGAAAAAATTGAGAGAATTTTCTACTTATTGAAAGGCTCTATGAATCTTAATAGGCTCTGATTTGTGAAATCATAGACAAACCATTTGTCTCAAGAGTGGACAGAGAGGAATGAAAATAGACTGTTGTCAAACTGAAACCATTTAGTAATTTAAACTAGTCTAGAATTTTTTAAGAAAGCTTTTATCAGAGTCCACAATTGAGACAGTAATGCTCAGAATAAAATCTCACTACAACCTTCCGTGCACTAGTGTGCTTTTAACTTTTATTTCACCAAAGAGAATCATTTAAATAGATTTGAGTAATCTGGCATATTGGGAAAGATTCAATTTTGGAGTGTCATTTTAGATTCCTAGATTAACGCAGAAAGTTTCTATAAGATCTGTCAAGTTAAAAAAAAAAAAAAAAAGAATCTGTCAAGTAGAAAACTGTTAAAGGCAGGTGCACTCCCAGACCCAGTTGTGTTTTTTTTTTAAAGTTTTATTTTATTATTTTGTGTGTGT